AGGAGTTTTTTTTTTTTTTAAGCCTGACCCACGACGATTGCCCAAGTCGATTGATATGCCCGGCAGCGAGAAAAAGAAAAAAACGACAGGATGAAAAAAAAAAAAAAACAGAGGATCAATCGGTGAAAAAACAAAATCGTATCATCCATCTATATCAGCAATGAAGATCTCATATCGTGAAAGGGAATCGGGGTTTTACTGACAAGTATGAGAAGTGAAAACAGTACATAATAGTTGTACCTGCTTCAATTCTATCCCATTATCTTCTCCTGTCGTGCATCTTTTCTCTGTTCTGCAGACATGTCGTGCACCGTTATATTCCGTGGCTGCCTTTCCTTATGCGTTAGTCCTTGGCCGTTACTAGATAGGATATTTTCCTTTTTTTTTTATTATTATTATTTTTTTGATATCTTCGTTTTTTGTTCCTCGTGCTGATTCAAAGTCAAGATTCGACATAGCGCGTGCGGTTCTTTTCGATCTTGTTGCCGCTCCCTTCCTCTACTTTCGCGAGCATCGGTTGTGGAGTTATTTTCCGCTTTTTGGCAGTTTTTTTTTTTTTTTTTTCTGGATTCCTTGAGGATTACTTGGGTCTGCTTTTCAACAGTTAATGGGTGTACCATTAAGCCACATGGGCTGTGTTGCGGGGGGCTATTTCCCCAGGTCTCACTACTGTTGACCCCCCCTGTTCCTCCGTCGTCGTCTGATCATTCCTCGCACGCTCTCCGTCTCTTACTCTCTGTCTCTAAGTCACAGAGAGTTAGTCGGGGGAAGATGGTACTTTCTACGGTCGTCACCCGAATAGAACGCCCGGTCGTTATAGCTGTATTTGGCACAATTTTCGGTCCAGATGCAGCGGTAATGACCGGGCGTTCTATTCGGGTGAAGACGGTAGTCGGGAGAAGAAGTTACTTTCTAGTCGGGTGTACCATTAAGCCACACGAGCTATCTAGTTTTCCTGCATCACGGCGTGTACTTAGACTGAAAGATACCCCAAATACAAGTGTATAGTGACCGCACGTTGCATTCGGGGGAAGTCTGTCATTTCTCTTTCTTCATCGTCTTTCGTATAGTGACCGCACGTTGTATTCGGGGGAAGAAGGTAGTCGGTTTCTTTCTGTCGCATTGGTTTTCTGTCATTTCTCTTTCTTCATCGTCTTTCGTTCCTAATTTACGTCATTGGAAAGAAGAAAATAGTTTTTTTTCGGTTTTCTGCGGTCTATGTTCATTGAATTCAGAACCCTGTTGCCGTCTGTCGGTGAAGCCGGTGAACTGCTTCTGGACGATATTCGCGGCCAAGGGAGGGGATGGTTTTGATAGACTGAGGTGAATCGCCGGTTGCCGTTTGCGGTATTGTGTGGCCTTAGATCCGATGGCCTGCTGGTCCCATTAGCGAAGAGGATTGGGTTTTAATTAAAGGATTTGATGGATCTGGATTGCTTTGAGCAGAGATGCAGAAAAGCAGATCAATCGCAATTCTCTGCATGAGTCCTCAAACAAGTCCAGATTCAGGAATCAAATCCAATCCTCTTTGCTTGATGGGACCAAGCTCCGGGTTATCGATCGGCGGATCCCATGATAATGAGGATGCAGGGCATGTAACTTACTGAATGCATGTAGTCGTAGATGGCTAAAAAAATCATTGTCTAAAATGGCTACCGTCTTCACCCGAAGAGAACGCCCGGTCATTATAGTGGTATTTGGGGCAACTCTCCGAGCGGTATTTGGGGCAACTCTCCGAGCGGTATTTGGGGCAACTCTCCGACCAGATGCAGCGATAATGACCGGGCGTTTTATGACGGTGAAGACGGTAGCGGAACCGTGCCCGAATCAGCGAAATGGAACGGTGATTGCAGATGTCGACGAAAAGGGTTTTACACCGGCCACTCATTGGGGGCCATTTGTACATCGAGCGCTTTGGCGTCCGTCTTCATCACTCGCGCCCGCAGTCCCCGAAGCTGGTGAATTCTAGGTGCATTTTCTCCCAGGATTGAACGTGCCATCTTACGGACGACACGCGCGCGCGCGCGCGCGAGAGAGAGAGAGAGAGAGAGAGAGAGAGAGAGAGAGAGAGAGAGAGAGAGAGAGAGAGTTTTGGGATCGGCTGGATTTGGCAGACTACGGCGTACGTATGGGATTTGGAGAGAGAGAGAGTTTTGGGATCGGTTGGATTTGGCAGACTACGGCGTACGTATGGGATTTGGTCGATTCACTAACTGGCTAGTAGTGTTGATTCTTTCCATTCCTGATCATATTTCGATCGTCTAATTACCTTGTTGTTCGCTTCTGCTGATTGCTTCTTCTGATCAATGCACTAGAGTTTTCGAGTCTCCGATCCCTAACAAATGACGATCACTGCCTCCTGTTTGACGGTGACCGCCTAGTATTATGAAGCGACCATCGTTGTTCGGCCGTGTTCTGTACTCGACCATAACTGCTTTTTATTCGACAACAACTGCCGCTTGTAGTCCAGCCAATGATATGCCGCGTGAGGAGAGCAGCGATCGCTTTGTGCAAAAATTGACCGCGCCTCTCCAAAGGAAGATATCGTCGTGTTCAACCGCGCCCTTTCGGATTTAATGGTAACCGTAGTCGATGCAGTGATGAGCTTCGTTGTGCGGGAGTGCGGGAGGACCGATGTGAGCCCATGGGTCCGTCGTCTGAACGTTTGCAGACTTGGTCGAGTAAAGGACGTCAGCATCAATTTCATCAGCATCATTAACCATCATCAACATCATTCGCATCATCAACATCA